TCTCGTCTGTCTGAAAGAAAGGCTTGATGCAGTCCAAAGGTTCAAGTTGATATTTGCTGAAGTTGGTTGATGAAAAAGAACCAGCTTGAGTCAGAGAATCTTGGTGAATGGAAAAGTCAAGACCGAAGCCTGGCACGAACTTAGCGGGTTGCAGAAGCGTTCTAGCTCATGTCTTCATCTTAGAATCTAACCGAACCCCCGACTAGGGCGGGTCACTGATGTGAGGCCTTTAAGGTCTGAGAAGATTCACGCCTCTCAAGATGGGCTTGTCCAATGAGAAAGGCTGAGAGCCAAAGCGGGACGTTGCAATTGCTGGAGAGTTTTACGACCCTTTGCGTGAGGGCATGGTAATTTGCAAATGGAACTTGAATCGAAATTACTAAAGATTCTCAGGACACTAATATATTGCCTATGTACCAACATATAATATACACGCTCGTTTAGATCATCAGAAGTCGAATTCATAGATACTAAACATGGTATATGTAAGGTTACATGAATGAGTGGTTATATCATAAGCATGCATAAAATAGTCTAAAAATATCAAAGACAACATACACAATGACCTGAAGGATATGTGTGTTCATTCAAAGAAAGGTTTTCCTATGAATTAATTAGTAGAAAAATCCATTTCTACTGTGCAGTTGTCACAGATCGGCCAGACTCAGTCACCTCCCAATCATCACAACGATCCCTCTCACCTGAGTTCTGAGCACCTGCACCTGTCACCAATCAAGCACCTCATTACCAGCCTGCATAAAAGCACACACCTCAGACACCCTCACGGTCTGGTCTCGTTTACACGTAGAGGACTCACTGACTTTGCTACTGATTACCTTTGAATACTTCGTGCATTACTTACCTCCTGTGTTCCTCCTAGTGTCTCCCCGTCTCCAAGTGTCTCCTGCATCTCCTAGTTCCTGGATCGCTGAGGTGTGTGCTTCCCCCGGATATCTTCCAGCCTCACTCACGCAAAAGACTCGGAATACTCCACTCTCCATAGCCTCTGCACTCTCTCACGGACCTTTCCCTCACCCTCACTTCCTCCGGACTCAACACCAGTACTCACTGTGACCTAAATAAACACTTGTATATAACTAACCTGTTGTGTCAAGCCTCTTCCGTAACAGCAGTGTGTCTCTTCCTATGGAAAATGCAGTGAGAGTCTCTCTCTTACATTCCTTTGAGCAATAAAACCAGTGTTATCAGCCGTGGTTGCTATGGAACCTGGTGTCTTTCTGAGGTGTTAAGACGCATTTTGGGGGAAGGGTCCATAGGTCCTCATATGGCTTGTTAACTGAGGGGTGTTACAGAGTATTTGTTAAATATAGCTAACAAAATATATATTGTGTGTTTGATTGGTCCAGACGCTACAAATTCCCCCCTTTTGAACGTTGTTGTCCGTCCAATAGACAACAGCGAGCAACGTCAAAGGTGCAGAACAATCGAACACACGGCTGGGAGGCTGGTGCCTCCAGGAGTGGTTGTGGTGCCATGGTGGATGCTGTCAGGTGGTGCGCTGTGGTGATGTAGGCTGTAGCAAGGTGTGGGTCCTCGAGCTTATGCAGCAGGTGTCGAGGCTGTGTCACCTGTCATCCTGAAGTGAGTTGGTCGAGGTTTCGCTGTTGGGCATGTTGGCCCGTTGCTCAATCCAACGTTGTCTGGCTGCATCTGGGGTGTCGACCGGTTTCAAGGGATGCTCCTCCCTTGGAGGGGTCTGATGCTGATGCCTCAGGCAAGGAGTCAGAAGTTTGTCCTTCTCAGTACTCCTTAGTTGAGTTTTGTTCACGGAGCTCTTTTGCAAGTGTCAGCAGCTCCTGTAACCCAGAATAGGCGTGTCCAGCTGTCCTTGTGTAGCCTCCGTTCGGCACCTGTGTGAAGGGTGTGGAGGAGGATGTTGTGGTGGACTGCTGTTGGACATACCGTGGTGTTTGCAGGATGAGGATGCCTTTTTCCATGGCTTTTCCCAGTGGTTGGTCTGGAACCTGGGTCTGTTGCCATGGTGATGGCTCTGT